GAACAATAATAACACCCAAACAGGCGTCAAAGGGACGGGGATGATGACTGGGCAGTCATTTCCACCACCTGTATACCCAGCGGGGTGCACGAGCATCAACCGGTAGGGAACCAGGTGTCATGGAACTGACACCGTATACCAGACTGCGAGGGTCGTGGTTTGTTGGCATTGGCATAGCACACGTTTTCAAACCCTTTGACCTAGAAGGGCGGCACGTGGCCCAGTATTTAGCCTGGGCCGTCACCCCTCAAGGCTGGGTAACCAAATAGTCGTCGACTGAGAGGCACAACCGATAAAGCACACACGTGTACACAAGCACTCTCATCACATGCATGAGAGTGACACAGATGGTTTTAGAAGCGGCCGTGACAGCCTAACTTTTAGCCCACTAGCTTGTCACTCCACATAAACACACTTAAATGGCAGACTGCGTGGAACAAGTTTAAACGTTAGTAGGCGGCCTTCCAAGCCACGGGCTTGATGCACCGTGATAGTCTCCGACTCGGATCACATACGCAGCAGAGGAGCCGCATACAGAAGGAACTGAGACGCACACTCCCACTTGAATGGGAAAGGGCAATCTGGTGCTTGCGGTAGGTGATGTTGACGCGCGGTGAGGTGCTGGTGAGGGAGGAATTGATGGTGTGGTGCAGTCGACGGTTGTTTACCGCAGGTTTTCGTGGGCGCGCATGTGGCCTTATAGAATCGTGCGGTGAACAAATGTGCCAGTGCAATGTGGACAGTGGATGCGACTGCGGCGATCGAGTGTGGATGTCTCAATCTCTCGGAGCACTGTGCCTTGATAGTCTCCAAAGCACGTAGAACGACCGGGTTTATCCTCCGAAATTTTAAAACAAGGGACATTAGAATGCGCCTTTTCAAAATGTACGTTAGACCTGGTCTGGAATACTGTTCGTTTTCATTTAGCCTCATGCGTGCTACTGAGCGGAAGAAAATAGAATCCGTTCAACACTTTTTTACCAAGAGAATTTTAACCCCGGAACACCGACATTTGTCTTACCAAGAACGTTGCCGGCTTACAGGCCTTGATCCTTTATGGTTCCGTAGATTACAAAAGGGACTATTTTTGCTATTTAAACTCTTGTATAATCACACATTTAACCCACTCACCTCTTTAAGACATCATATTCACCCACGACGTAACAGTCACCGTGAGGTCTTTTTATTTCTTCCTCTGGCACGTACTGTTAAATATCGTCGGTTCTTTTCTGTAAATGCAATTGCTATTTGGAATAAACTACCCATGAGTGTGAAAACTCTGCAAAACTATCCTTTATTTAAGAGAACTATTACTCGATTTTTGCATTCAGAAAAGCTCCCACAAATTTTGGGGGCTGAATCTACTGATCGACTGTACCGTAGCGATGGCGTTTGTGGTCTCTGAACACTATGGCCGGTCTCACCAGCTGTTCCTCAACGCCTCTACTTTGACTATCCCCAACTTTATGAAAGGAATTTGACGTCCGATAATCTCCGATACCGTGCAACCTCGCCCCTTCTTGACGGTCGATATTCTGCCACCGCCGGCAGTTTTTTCTCCTGAGCCCTCCAAACCATAAAAACCACCATCAACTATATTTCTATCCCTTTAGCTCAGGAGTTTTTTTTCACTGCTGGTCGGATTTGTGTTTAATCGCTTCCCTTGACAATGCCTGTAAACTGGCATTAAATAAAAAAATTTATCTATTTATTTATTTAGTTCGCCAGCCTCTTTGCGATGGATTCGCAAGTGACTGACCAGGCCGATGTGTGAGGTGAATGTACATGGACAGTATGGGCATGAGAAGTCAGCGGTGTCAGTATCAACTTCGGCGATTGAGGAGCTGGTGGTTGTAGGCGCACTGGGCGACGGGGTTGGGATTTAGCCGAGCAGAATGGGTGCGCAATATGTATCGAGTGTGATGGAGCTGGTGGCAGTGGGCGCGCTGGGCGACGGAGTGTGAGCTGGGCCATGCATGGTGGGTGTGCTAGATGGGTTAGGCGTGTCGGGGCTGAGGTCAATTCCGTTTTCGTGGATACGCATGTGACCGAATAGGCCCATACGGTGCATGAATGTGCGAGGGCAATGTGGACAATAGAGGCGAGTGTGGCGAGTGTAGATTGGTGCTCCAAGCACTGGTTCGTCAGTCTCTCTGCGATCGATTCGCAAGTGACTGGCCAGGCCGATGTGTGAGGTTAGTGTGCGATTGCAATGGGACAGGTATATACTAGGTCCTCATCACTGGCATTGACGATGGCGGTGGTGTTGCTGTCTGTTTGTTTGTCAAAATTGTGTGTGATGTTGATGGGCTTGACAGACACCGGAGCGGCTGACATTGAGACGGTGGTGGAGGAGGAAAATTGTAGTGGTGGTTCAGGAGGACGGTCAACGTTAGTTGACGGTGCGGGAGACGAGGGAGATGTGGACGGAGGGACGAAGTTTGGTGCAGTTCGGGTGCCGAAATTGGCCTGGAGGTGTCCAACAACTTCATTTGGCGCCCAGAATGTCCGTTGACATCGTGGACACGTTGGAGGCGGTTGGGCATCGGCGTTGTGAGGCGGCGGCGGCAGTGACGGCAATTGAGATTTTCATGTCTGCAGTTTGGCTTTGGCAACGCTGATGCGGTTGACTTCGTAAGTCGTTGCGCCTGCCCTCAATGTCCTCCGTCAGGTCGCTCGGTCTTAAGCGAGGTCTTTCCAGTTTTCCGCGTTAATCTGCAGGCGCTTCAGGGAGGTTTCCAGAGTATCATTCTGGCGCCGAACTTGGCCTTCTTGTAGGCGTGAACCCGTCGTGACATATCCGTAGAAGAGTCGTTTGAGTAGCCGCACAAGGTGGCCGCTCCGGCGTAGTTGTGGCATAGCGTAGATGCTGAGGATTCTTGCCCGCTCCAGTATGACCTTGTCTGAGATCCAATCCTGCAATCTCAGCTTCAGTATTCGACGAAGACAGCTGAGGTGGGACTGGTTGGGTCTACGTGCCTGCTTCTTGTACAGAGCCCATGTCTGCGTTCCAATGAAGCAGCATCGGCAGGGTAACCGTCTTGTAAATCTTCAGTTTGGTGTTGAGCTGGAGACCGTGGCGATTTTAAATTGTGTTCTGAGGACGACCGAAGGAGTAACTGGCTTTGGAAATCCGGTGGACCACTTCATCTTCGATCTTGGTGCTGCGGGAGAGGGCGCTGACCAAATACGTGAAGTTGTCCATCACTTACAGATGAGCACTGTTCAGGTTGATTTGGGGTGGGACATAGGCAGCGTCGGGTAGCGCGTGATGTATAACCACCGTTTACTCTGTGCTGATGACCAGGCCGAAGTTGCTGCAGGCGGCGGCGGCGGCGGCGAGGAGATCCATACTTCTTTGCATGTCCTCCTCCGAGGTGGTGTTGAGGGCGCAGTCGTCGGCGAAGAGAAGTTAATGAACGGAAGTTCATCCGCCGTTGATTGAGGAGTTGGCCGTCCTTCCTGTAGGCGATGCGGATCCCAGGGCAATTGTCACGGTAGGCGTCCATAAGTATGGCAGAGAATATGAAACTGAAGACGGTAGACGAGAGCATGCAGCCCTGCTTCACTCCGTTGGTCACTGCGAATGCCTCTGAGACAGTTCCATTATCCGTGACTCCGGCCATCAGGCCATCTTGGTGCTGACACACCATCTAATTTAACAGTTGGGGACAGCCGCATTTCTGCATGATTTTCCACAGTCCTTAACGATTTACCTTGTCAAAAGCCTTCCTTAGATCCGCGAAGATAGAGTAGAGGTGAATCGGCTTCTCCTGACACTTCTCCTGCAGCTGGCAGGTGGCAAAGATCATGTCAGTGATCCCACGACGACGACGGAAGTCGCACTGGCTTTCCTGCAGGAAACCTTGTTCCATATGGTGGTTCAGGCTGTTGAGGAGAATGCAAGCAAAGATCTTTCCGGCGATATTCGGTAAGGAGATGTCTTGATGATTGTCGCAGAGCTGGCTGTTACCTTTCCGCTTATAGAGGTGGACGACTGTGCCGTCCTTGAAATCCTGTGGGATTTCTCCTTGACGCCACATCTCCTGGAAACGAGCCTTAAGATGATCTATGATTTGGGGGCCACCGTGTTTGTAGATCTCAGCAGGTATCGCGTCTGATCCGGACTCTTTCCCGCTGGAGAGCTGCTGCAGGACCTCAAAGGTTTCGTGGAGAGAGTACGAGAGGTCGAGGTCGGTGTTGGTCTCCACTTGAGGTAGACCGGTGATGGCGACATCGGAGATGATGGGGGGACGGTTGTGGGCGCTTCTGAAGTGCTGGGCCCATTGCTGTAGAATTTGTGTCTTCTCTGTGAGAGGGTACTGTCGTAGGCGCCTTTGGTTGGCGGACAGTACGCGGCATTGATCGAAGAGAAGAAGTTCTTCTATTAGTTGCAGTCCGTGTACTCTTGGATCTCCTCAGCCTTGCGAGCAGTCCAGGCGTCCTGCATCTCCCGCAGTCGCTGTTGAATGAGGCGACGACTGCGGTAGATAGCAGCTCTGTTGTCGTCAGTGGGGCGGTTGTTCTCGGCGAGCAGGTTACTGATGGCGGTGTCGTCGTCGTCGAACCAGTCCCGGTGTTGGCGGCGTGCGCGATCGAGTACGGCCAGCGCCATAAACTGAGCTGTGTCTCGCAGTTAACACCATCGGTTCTCCACGGAGGCGTCCTCGTCAGCGGCGGCGACAGCGTCTCGAAGGTTTTCTAACCGTTGTACTACCTTGTTGCTGAAATGCAGATGTGAGCAGGCAATGGCAACAAGGCAATATTCAGCTTATACGGGGGTCGCCTACCTTGTAGTTTTCTGCGGGGCTGTAGGCGAATCCGTATCTTGGAGATGACGAGGCGTTGATCGGTCCACCCGCCAGCACCCGGAATCGCCTTTGTCCCCAGTATATCCTGCTGGTCTCGCCTCCGGACGAGGACATAGTCCAGCAGGTGCCACTGACGCGACCGAGGATTCCTCCAGGTGGCCTTCTCTCGCTCCGGCAGACAGAAGAAGGTGTTCGTCAGGATTAGTCGGTGTTCTGCGCAGGTGCGGAGAAGGAGCAGGTTATTGTCGTCGGAGCCGTTAAGACTTTGGGAACTACCACTCCTCTCCGGGCGGCATGGTCTCTGCCGACGCAGGCGTTGAGATCACCAAGGACAATCAACTTGTCCGCCTTCGACACAGTCGCCAAGAGGGCGTGCAGGTCTTCCTAGAATTTGTCTCTTGCGGCGTCAAAGCAGGTCGTCGGGGGAGCGTAGGCGAATTTGCCTCCCCGAAGATGCAGGCGGAAGCTTGTCAGTTGGTCGTTGATGCTCTGTGGCAGTTCCCGAGCCACTAGCCCTGTCCTCCGTTCCGGTCGGTTGCTCCTCGGATTGTCTAACTGGGAACGAATATTCCAGGTTGTCAGAGTGAGCAGACTCACCCTGCCAGTTTAGCGATTGCGGTGGTTAAAAGGAAGAGGAGGGGATGAAGGAGAATAGGCAGGACAAGGAAGAGAGAGATGGGTGTTGTTTCAGTTTTGGCTGTTTCGACCGTGTGTTTGTTGACTGCGGCCACGGTCAGTCTGCAGACGGCGTGGCTCCCCAGCAATCTTTAGGGCACATTTCCTAGCCCCTCCTTTTGGGGACAAACAGTGCCTCCCCAAATAGGATTGTCCGGTAGTGCCAGGCGCTACCGCACTCCGCTAATGGGCCATGTCTTTGGTGTAGTGGAAGAAAGACTCGAATTAGCCTAAGGGGCTGACGACACCACTGTAAGCTCGTGGCCTCCTGCGATGCACCAGACGGAGCCTCGTCTCGACGGTGCCGATTCGGAATTCCAACCGACCAACCACCCAGCGGATACCCTCGCCTGGCTAAGCTCGCCGGTCGAGGCGGTTACCGGGATGTGGCCTCTAGGTAGTGTCTAACTTCGGGGAACCACATGTGAGAATTGGGTGTCAGCAAATGGACGCTAGGCGTAGTCTGCACCTACAGGTAAGTAAGTGATCTACTAGGACCGTCAGGTGAACCCAGTGCTGAACACCCCTACATCCCTTAAATCACATAGTTATACACGACGCACACAATCAGTTACCTTGCCTTATATTACATTAGTTGGTGGCGGATATTTTCCAGAATTTTTACACGACATTTTTCAAGGTAAGTTGCCTTTTCGGTTATATTTACTTAACTACTTACGTTAAGAGACCTTAAGTACTTCTGTGAATGGCATGTATATACGAGTTTGAGGGCTATGGGCGTGGTCATTTATTTCCTCATCCATGTATAGTTGAGATTTTGCATGCAATTAGATACAGTCATTTGTAAAGATCGTAAAAATACTTTACATAAGACGTGCAGTGATGTATTACAAATGAAGTGCAATTGAGGGGTAAGGCTCAGGGCTGGCCGTGGATAGTCCTGCAGTATGAGCCGTTGCATATCAAGAATCGAAAAGATCCAACTGACTTTCACCAGCGGAATGGCTGAAACGGCGGGAACTTGTCTTGAAGTTACAGTCAAGACTGAAGGGTGGCGAGCACAATCTGGCTATCTTCAAGGGGAAGGTAGTTCGGAAGTATATGCCGTTTCAGTGGAACCAGTCTGTAATACTAAGAACGACGGCAGCTACTCAGCGAACACATACACCTTCGTCGAACCACCTGCTCAAGGCGGCAACACAAGTGAGCCCATAACGTCCAGTGATCCGACTGAAACAACGGATATAAATGGAACCCATCAGGTAACGGAAGTGCTCAGAGAACATGGCGTCCGAGATAACGCAGTAATGCTCACAACAGTAGAAAATACAACGGGAAATTCGGCTGGTGCAAAAATGAGGTGCTTGTACACGAATGCCCAAAGCCTCATATCGAAAATAGACGAACTAAAACTTTGCCTTGCTGAGCTGTCTCCGGATGTTTTAGCAGTAACTGAGACCTGGCTGTCCGGGAATATTAGCGATAACGAAGTAGCCTTGCCTGGATACCAAATTTATCGGAGGGACAGGGAACATCGTCAGGGTGGTGGTATTGTTGTGTATGTGAATGAAGGTCTGGCAGTGTCGGAAAACACCACCAAGTTTGCGTACGGCACGGAAGCTAGTTAGTTGACCATCAAGGCTATCGGTTCCCCGTGTCTCGATGTCCTCACTGTCTACCGACCACCTCGGACAGACGAAATCGCCGACACTCAACTATTGGCGCAGTTGGATAAATTTTCCAGTCGACCTAACATCATGATCATGGGCGACTTCAACGCACCTGGAACAAACTGGAATACCCTCCAAGCGTCAGGTCCAAAATCGTCATTCGATTACCGTCTGCTGAACAAAACATTAAAGGCGTACCCCACACAACATGTAATGTTCCCAACGAGAACACGTGAAGGACAAAGGGCAAACTGCATTGATCTGGTTTTTACGAAAACACCAGACAGCATAGAGGAGATCACTTCCATGCCGCCCCTTGGCCGAAGTGATCACGTAGTGCTTACTTGGGATTATTCGTTGTCCTTCATTTCACATACTCCAGACCACAAAAGACGGAATGTTTGGCGAGGCGACTTCAATCAGATGAGAGCAGACTTATCCGGTCTCGACTGGGGCTCACTGTTTACGGGAAATGCCAACGATGATTGGGAGCTGTTCAAGAATGCCCTTCTGCAGCTCATCAACAACCACTGCCCACTGAATAGTGTGAGGCTGGACAAACGCCCTGGATGGCTAAATAGCAACCTTAAGAAAGAAATCAACAGGAAGCACAAATTGTAGAGAAAATACTGCGTCAGTGGGCAAGTTGAATATTTCAACATCTACAAGACACAGAGGAAAAAACTGCGGAACCGGATCATGAAGACGCGGCGGGAATTTGAGAAGAACTTGATACAAAGAGCAACGCAGAATCCAAAATTACTTTACAGTTACCTCCGACGAAGTACAAGGAACAGGCATCAAATTCCCTTAATAAGGACTACTGATGGCGTTGAGATTGCTGATAGTATGGATAAAGCTGCGTATATTTCACAGTTTATCCAATCAGTCTACACCAACGCAAGCGCTCTAGACTGCGAAGTAGCAATGTTTGCCGATGACATAAAGATATGGAGTGTAATTCGGGGTCCTGCCGACGAAGACAGACTGCAGATGAACCTGAATCGGTTGGAGGAGTGGTCAAACCGTTGGCTCCTGCGGTTCAACGTTGCCAAATGTAGCATACTTCGCAAAGGCAACACAGCCAGATCGGCCAGCACAAGAGACTACTACAAGAGATCGAAGCTCAAAAGGACCTCGGTGTTCTGGCGACAAGTTCTCTAAAGCCCTCCGCCCACTGTTCGAGGTGGCAAAAAGCGCAATGTCCGTACTGTACGCCATCAAGCGTGCGTTTATGGACTTTGACGAAGAAGCTTTCTCTAAGACATTCGGAACATTCGTCCGGCCGCATTTAAAGTACGGCACACAAGCTTGGAGACCGTGGGCTGTTGAGGATCAAAACGGCCTCGAAAGAGTCCAGAGGAGAGCCACGAAGATAGTTAGGGGTCAAAGCTCCTTTCCCTAGGCAACCCGCCTAGTAAATCTGAAGCTCTTTCCTTTGAGTTACAGGCAACTTCGCGGGGATCTCTTGCAAGCCTTCCGCATTGTAAAGGGGTTGGATTGCAGCCTGGCCGTCAAGGACTTTTTTGAATTTGATACCACTACCAACCTACGAGTTCACCCGTTAAAACTGCGCACCCAGCAGGCACGGCTGGATGTGCGGAAGTTCTCCTTCTCGGTTCGGGTGGTCAAGCCATGGAATGAGCTTCCAGCAGATGTTGTGATGTCACCATCTCTAGAAAGTTTTAAGAAAAATCTGGACATCTTTATGTTCCGAAATGACGAAGAGCGATGAGAAGTCGAGCTCACCCCCTGTAACTCCTTCTCATTTTGTCCTATCACCATGGGCGTGTTCGAGCTATTTCATCACAGAACATCTATCTGTATACCACACATTTTTTGCGTTGCAAATAGGGTGCACAAGGGCTTACGCCTATTTCCCTCAATAAACTGAACTGAACTGAACGAGGCAAGGTTCCTTCCTCCCTCCACAGAAGAACTGCCGACTCCAAGCGTCAGTGATATACTCTTCCCAGAAGGCATTGTCCAAAGGGAATAAGAGGCATTGAACGAATCAAAGTCGTCAGGATCAGACGAGATTCCACACAAGCTTCTCAACGAATTTGCCAGTGAGCTCTCTGTGCCTTTGTCGATGCTCTTTCAAACGTCATTTGACACTGGAACACTTCCTATCGATTGGAAGCTGGCGCATATTACTCCGCTACGCAAAGGAGGTAACAGGACAGCGACGACAAATTACAGGCCCATAAGCTTGACATGCATTCTCTGCAAAGTTATGGAAAGGATCATAAAGAGCGAACTGATGCAATTTCTGGAAGTTAACGGCCTGCTATCGAGATGCCAACATGGGTTTCGGAAGGGAAGATCCTGCACGACAAACTTGCTGCAATCTCTCCAGAGCTGGACCCGAGCTCTCGACGACAGGCACGCGGTTCACATAGCTTTCATTGACTTCCAGAAGGCGTTCGACACTGTGCCACACCAGAGGCTCTTACATAAACTTAAAAAATAGGGGTCGGTGGCAAATTCCTTAAATG